CTTTTCCTGCTCTTTGGCTCCAAAAGCAACCTCTCCAGTTTTCCAGAGGATTAGATTCCTTTTTTTTTTTTTTAATCAGTAACTGTGAGTAAGTAAAAATGCAGATGGGATTTGCTGCTTTCCCTAAGCTCGCTCTGCCCTTCTGGCCTTCTGCTGGCATCCTCCAACTGGGAAAGTTATTCTAAGGATACAGTGGAAGTGATGTCAAAGGGAGGTGTGGTCAGAGGTGACATTCAGAGTCCTGATGTGTGTCACTTGTCTTTCTTGGGAGCTGAGCCAACAGGATGGTCCTGGAGAAAGGACGATGCCCGACTTTGCCAGTTTAATGCTTTCCTCACTTTTCTTGCCTCTTGAGTTCTCACTTCGATCCTGCATGTAAAAAATGAAGGAGGATCCTGGGATATTTGATACTCTGGAGTTTCAAGAACCACCTAATTTGAGAAGCTCATTGCACACTTGGAGGTGTTGAGTCATCGTGTGTTGTTCCATGGAGTTTTCCTGGAGGGATATTTTCCCGTGGTGGGTGTGTGCAAGGTGCTGCTGAAGCACGTGGCCCTTTTCACCTTCTTCCTTAGAAACTCCTTCCCCTGCTGACTGGCCAAAGCCATTGCTGGTGATTCCCAATAATTCCAGTTCTTCCACCAGCTGAGTGCTGGAGATGGGTCTTTGACAGGGGGAAGCTCAGGAGCTGGAGGCTGCCCCGGGAGCCTTTCCCTCCTGAGGAATAGTGTTTGGGGAATCCAGGGGTGAATTCCTGCTGCTGCTGCCCGTCTTGCTCCATCCCAGTTCTGGCTGTGCCCTGCATTTCCTGACTCCAGGGTGAAGCTGTCCCTGGGAGCCTCCCTCCTCCTGTGCCTGTTCCCGGTGCTCTGCTGGTCCAGCTCTCCCAGGGCCAGCTGCTGAACCAGCTCAGGGAATAGCAAACCCAGGTTATTTTTAACCTGGATCCCTCCCCTCACCCAGCTCTGGGCCACTCCTGATGCCTCAAAGGCAGCTGCCAGTTTTTAAGGAGAGGAAAGACAGGAAGGTGCTTCCAGCCAGGAATGACCCTGTGGTTTCCTGCAATGTTCTCTGCCTTCCAAAATTATTTCTTTCCATGCCTTTATTTCCTGCTAGGTATTTGCACAGATGTTTTCACTTCCAGCTGCTCCAGGTGGATCTTTAGTTTTTTTGTTGGTTTTTTTTGGTTTTTTTAAATGTGCCCTGAACAGAATGGAATTCAGACCCATTCTGGATAATTTGTATATATTCATTAACATTTTGCCCTGTTCTTCCAGAATTTGGGTCCTAAGTGCATTAGGCTCCATGACAAATGTCTCTGGTATCCTCTCTCTGGTGTCTCCTTGCTCATAGCTCGACACTGCAGCCTTCACTATTGCTTTTAAATTCTGTTTCTTTAATTCCATTCCCTGTGTGAGTAAAGGTGTCTGAATTAACCTTCACAATGAACCTGCCAGGGCTTTTCCCAGTGTCCACATAGATTCTCATTAATCCCTCTTTTGTAATGCAGGAAAGGCTTGTGTTGGAGTGTTTTGCTTTGATTTTATTTTATTTTTTTTAATAGAGGAAAAGGCCGCACTGAGGCTGCTCTCACTGAAAAGTTTATTTTTATTTCTAAGACAACGGCTGCATGTAATTTTTAATGTTGCACTTTCTGGAGGTTGACTGCTGTCAGTAGTACAGTCAATATTTCCTTCAATTAAGAATAATCTTAGATAATGAAATTGTTTTCTTTTCATTACAAAGTAATTTGTGACTTAGAAACCCCAAGGTGCCTTATAATATATAACTTGCACAATGAAAATAATTATTCCAGAGTCAATTCTAGAAGAAGTTTGGGAAAATTGTTGAAAACAGGCAGTAAAGAACATTGACTTTTGGGGAACTTTTCCATTTCGTGGGGTTTAGTTACTCAGAGGGCTAAACCCAAAATGTTGTGGAATAGGATTTATCCCTGCAGAATGTCAGATATTTGCTGAATGTTTTTATCTTCATTTGATAAGCAGTTGTGGAGTGTATTTTTATACTATTTTATCAGAACTCTCTGCAATCTACCAAAGCAGGTGTTTTAATCACCACATCCTAATTAACTCAATCTATTTTATAATCTGTCTACCCAGCTCCTACCACTGGAGTCCATTTTGTGGAAAGAAGGAAAATAAGGGATTAAAAGAGAAATACAGAAGAATAATTGTAATAAGATCATCATTGAATTGTAGCTACTAACAGAAAAGAAAAAAAAACTAAATTTGGGGCATAGGAGGGAGGATAAAATTTAATATCTTGTTTTGCTGCTTGAAATAGCACATGGAGTTGATGAAGATTTTAGGGAACAAGTTTCCCTGCTTAGTAGCTGCAGTAATCTTAGGGAATACTGAGGGGTTTATTCTCTTTTATATCAAGAAGAAAATGGGAAGGGAAGGGAAGGGAAGGGAAGGGAAGGGAAGGGAAGGGAAGGGAAGGGAAGGGAAGGGAAGGGAAGGGAAGGGAAGGGAAGGGAAGGGAAGGGAAGGGAAGGGAAGGGAAGGGAAGGGAAGGGAAGGGAAGGGAAGGGAAGGGAAGGGAAGGGAAGGGAAGGGAAGGAGGAATTCTGGCCTGCAGGAAGCTGTTTTGGTGTCTTTGCTTAACCTGATAAGGATGGAGAGGGACTTTTTGTGGGAGCTTGTAGTGCCAGGACACAGGGAGGGGTGTCCCACTGCCAGAGGGCAGGGTTACATGGCATCTTGGGAAAGAATTCTTGGCTGTCAGAGTGTGAGGCCCTGGCACAGGTTGCCCCACGGGCAGGCAGGGCTGGTTTTTTCTGTGTTCTTGAAGTTTTCCCTGCCTAAATCCCAGATCACACTCTTGAACAAGGCTGTGCCAACAGGACTTCTCAGCGCTGTGCTATTTCCCTAGATTTTCCAAAGGCTTACCTTCCCACAAATTCATTTGGTTTTTCTCCCTCTTTAATGAATGTCTTTGCACTTCCACTCAAAGACACTGATTGGGACTGATTGTTTTTCTGCAAATCCATCCAAATTTGGTCAATCCTGCCTGTTCCCTGCCGGTTTTTGAGCAGTGGCAGGGATGTGTGCTGGCAGCTGGACAGCCTCCTTCTCTGCAGCTTTTCACAGCTTCTCTCTGCAGCAGCAGCAGCATCCACTCCCTCTGAACTGAATCATTTTGACTTCTGGTCAGGAAAAGACAGAAAAGGAGAAAAAAAAAAATCCCCAAAAAGGGTTAATCTGCTGAGTGGCAGCACAATGCAAGCAGGTATTGCTGCTGTTGCAGCTGAAGAAAGATGCAGCACCAAGGTTAATGAGAGGTGGGGACTGTTGTTCTCCCTCTCTGTAGCAGCCAGAGCTGAACAAAAGGGGAATGTTTGCAGAATCCCTCAACATTAAAGGTTGTGGCAGTGCTGTCCTCCTGCCAAATCCTGGAAACCCTCTGGATGTTCAGCACCATTGGACACTCACCTTTAGTGCTTGTCAGCAAGAGCTATGGACTTCCTTGGTTTATACAAACACGAGGATGTGAAGATATGCCAAGATGGGGACTTGGAGCAAACTGAGGTATCCGAGCAGCTCTGAAATGAAATAGCAATGCTAGAGGTGTGGGAATTGAGGTGTGAAAGCAGCAAATGAATGGTTGGTGATCCTGTGGTTGATGCTGAGCCTGGTGCAGCAGGCAAGGCTTGCTTTCCCGAAATCCAAGGGGGCAGGAAGATGTGAGGGAGGTGGTTTTCTCCCCCATTTGCTTGAACACTTATTTTCAGCTTCTTTCTTGCCACAAAAGGAGTAATTTGTTTAATTTTACAAAATGTTACTGAAGCTGTTGGAAGTGGAGCTGCAGCCCACGTCTTCTTAATAAATGAGTGTGTGTATTCCTGGAAGGAAGTTAAAATGGGGCTGTGTTATATTTGGTACCTCCTGAAGTACTGAGGCTACTCTGAGTACAGAATGTGCTCTGAGAAAGACTAATTTGCCACTGCAGAGCTTGATGGGATGAGATTTGTCAAGTCCTTGTCTCTGCTGAAATTCACTTATGCTTTCCTCTCTCTCCTGAAGATATTTTAGGGTTCTATCTCTGAATTGAAGGGCCATAAAAACAAGTCAAAAAGCCTGAAACCAGAATTAAATTCCCAGCAATGAATATGCTTCTTATAATGTAAAAATACTGAAGTCAAGCACCCTTGGAAGCAACAGGTGGAGATGTTCCTGACCTGTTTTCCTGAGTGTGCTCGTGCTCCTGCTAGCACCAGGGTTGGGATTGTTGGGACATTGGAGCTTCAGCAGGGTGGGTTTTGACTTCCCTCCAAGGATGCCATCTCTGATGGCAGGTGGTGGCTTCCTGCAGGAGGCAGGAAGAAGAAAGATTCAGTAAAAATGAAGATTTTTCTGTTTTCTGTTCATTTACAAGTTCATGCTGTTTCATTAGCTGGCTGGAAGGGTTTGGTGGTGTAATTCTACAGGGAAAGGTGGGATGTGCCAGCACTCCCTAAAAAACCTCAGTTGTTTCAGTGGATTCAATGTTTTCTGCCTCCTGCTTTCTCCCCCAGAGTGTTTTTTGAGTGAATGTAAACTAATACAGGATCAGTGGTTAGAAACCATGAAAAAATATTTAATGTAAACCTTTTGGTACTGGGTTGATTAAAATAAACAACTGTTCCAAGGAGCTGGTCCTGCTTTGGGAACAGTAGGGTTTCTGTTCCTCCCTATAATGCATAAAGCATGTGGAGTGCCTCGAGAGCTTTTTTTGGGTGCTGCACTTCATTTTGAGGGATTTCATTTTCAGTTCTCGGAGCTTTTGTGTCAGCTGGGAAGGGAGCATGTAGGAGTAACATGTAAAACTCAGGCTAAAACCTGTTTAGTCCCAAATCCTGACAAATAGCTGGTAAACAAGTATTTAAATGAAAGCTTGGACTTTGTTTTCTCTCTCTGGGAAGCTGGGAAGGCCTTGGTCTTATTGCCAGCTCGGGTATCCCTTCCCTCTCCTTGTATCCTGTGGCTCCTCCTTTTTTTGCCTGCATTTCTTACATGTCCCATTTCTCCTTCTGCTCCAGTGGAGGTGAAGACCACTCTGAGCTGGGAAGAGTGTTTTGTTTTGTTCCAGCAGGTTTTCCACAGAGCCTCACGGGTGTTTTTCTCTCTCTCTCTCTCTGTCCTTGCTGCTGCAGAGCTCTGGAATGCTGTGAAGACTCCCTGCCCAAGCACACTCCTCTCCGGATTATCTCCATCCCAAGGAAGCTCGTATCCAAGAGGTACCAATTCATCCTGTCTTTGTGCCCTTCAGTTTTAGCTGCTTCTCCCAAAACCCTTTCCCTGCTCCCTCCAGACAGGAAAGCCTTGGAGATTGCAGCTGTTGCTGTTTGATGCTCTCCTTTCACTTTGCTACAGAAGCACTTTACATTTTCAAATGAGAAGTGATTTCTGGGTCAAGAAATGCATAAGCTGCAGCTCCAGCAACACTCTGTGCCTGGTGTGTTTTATTGTGTTGATTTAGAAAGTTAATAAAGTTACAGCAGGTCTTCAGCAGCCTGAGTAAAACACACAGTACTTACGTGCTGCTCCTATAAAGAATCGTGGGAGGGGTTCTTGTTTTAGTGTTTATTAGTCTTAATATCTTCCTAGTAAATAATACATTTTGGTTCTATATTAAAAAGGAGACTTGTGTTCATTAGCTGGGTCAAAATCCCTGGGTTGGCACAGACACCATTCCTGATATAAACTTCTGTCATTTGCCTGGAGACAGGCAAATTGTTTTCTAATAGTTTCTATTTCTTGGGAGAAGAAAGCTGGAAACGATGTTTTCAAATAGAAACTTTGCAGTGTAATTTGATTGAAGCAGTTTCTATCTTGGCTCCTTATTTTGGTTTATAGAGCCCAGTGTGATGAGACCTGAGCAGGTCAAGCCTTTAGAGCATGTACATATATTTATATATATATATAAATATTTTTTTACTATATATATGTGTAAAACAATTTAATATGTTATAACAGTGGGAGAACATGATCTACAGGAGCTGTGAAAGAGGAACATATCCGCTCAGGAAATCCCTCTGGAAAGTATGCTGGGAAAATGTCCCTGTGTGCCTGCCCTTCAATTTTCCCTCAGGGATTCACACGTTCCTGTTGGGCAGAGAAGACACAGGGTGGCTGAAGTGTCTGTCTGACCCCATCCAGCTGTTCTTGTGCAGGAATATGGAAAATCCAGGCTTGACTCTATGATTTTTTTCCATTTTATGTGTTTTGCTGCTCACTTAATGATATGAACTTTAAATGTCAGCTGCTCTTGGGTCTGCTGCACTGCGTTGGGATCAAACCTTTGGGCACACTCTGACCCTTATCCTCACAATAATTTAGGACTCCAGCCCTGCTTTGGGAAAAGCTGCCCTAAATCAATGCCTCCTCTTTGGGTACAGACAAAATCTGGGTATTTCTTCCTCTCCCACCACCCCAGCTTAAGTGGGATGGGACAGAAAATGCCAAGGATTTCAGAAAAGCTTTTCCTAGTTTGAGGCAACAACAGCGATCCCCCGTCCATCTTCTGCTTCCCCTTTTTCCCCTCTTCATGCTAGAAAAAAGGATAAATGAAAAAAAAAAATAGGGACTTTGAAGCTGCTCCCATCTTTTTTTTGTGTATGGTTTCCCTGGTTTGGGCAGCTTTTTTGGGATCTGAGAAGCAAAAATCCAGAGCTGTTTCAAGTGGGAATATGTGGAGTGTTGGCTTTGCATAAGAAAGCTCCTGCTCCAAGGGCTCCTGGTCCAATCCAGCTCCAGATTAAGGAATGTGAAGCTCAAGAGTGGAATTGATGGAGCCTGTGGAGACTTGGCTGACCAAGCAGATCGAGTTGCTCTCCAGACTGTGATAGCCCTGCTGGGGATCTCCAGCAAATATTTACTTTTGGGTGACTTTATCTTGAGTTGAACCCCTCCCTGTTAGACTCAGTGTCCATTCAGAAGTCAAAATGTGGAGGAAATTGAGTTAAACTTGAATGTGTGAGTGCTCCATGTCTTAGCATACTTAGGTTGTTTCCTGCTTGGGAAATACCCCACTCCCCCACATCCTAATTGAAATTCCAGCAATTAAATAGTTAAACACGGTGTGTGTGTAAAATCCATGTGTTTCTATAAATACCTCTCTTATCTCTGTAATGGTTTGGTTTGATGTAAATATTTTAAAATGTGCTTTTACATTAGGCTGGTTTTTATCCAGTGTGTGTGAGTGGAATTTGGAACCGGGCCTGGACTTTATACTTCTGCTCCTCAACGTTTCTGAACTCATGTGGAAAATTTCTGGACTTTAAATCTCCTGAGCATTTCTGCCAGTTTGGTGGGGTCTTCACTGGGCTGGGAATGCACTGAATCCAGAGCTGAAGTGGAGCATTTTGCCAGCAGCTCTTGGACACTTTGATGCTGTTGGGAACATCATTTAGTGAATTTTTTTAGCGCAGGAGCGAATCCTTTGTTCCCAGATCTGAAGTTTTCCTGCATTGCCAGCTCTGTTTTGGAGAACAAAATTCCTTTCAGAGAACATGTGATATGGAAAATGATTTCTGTAAAGCCAAGTTGTGTGCTGCATCCAGCTCTGGGGCCCCCAACATCAGCAGGACGTGGAGCTGCTGGAGAGAGCCCAGAGGAATCCATGGAGCTGCTCCAGGGCTGGAGCCAGGCTGGGAGAGCTGGGGGTGCTCACCTGGAGAGGAGAAGGCTCCAGGGAGAGCTCAGAGCCTGAAGGGGCTCCAGGAGAGCTGGAGAGGGACTGGGGACAAGGCCTGGAGGGACAGGACAGAGAGAATGGCTCCCACTACCAGAGGTCAGGGATGGATGGGAATATTAGGAAGAAACTGTGGCAAAAAATATTTTAAAGGGGGAATTTTTAGAAGAGTGGGTCTGACTCAGAAAAGTATTTGCAAGAGTGTTACCTAGGATGAAATGCTGGGTCATTAATCTTTCTCAATTCATCACCCTATACAAGGAGGAAGTTTCCCTATGTGATCTATTACAGCTTATTTAGGTACATCACAGAATCCCCAAATAGTTTGGGTTGGAAGGGACCTTAAAGCCCGTCCAGTGCCACCAGGACACCTTCCACTATCCCAGGTTGCTCTAACCTGGCCTGGAATGCTGCCAGGGATGGGGCAGGCACAGCTTAACGGGGCACCCTGTGCCAGGGCCTCCCCACCCTCACAAGAAGGATTTCTTCCCAAGACCCAGTCTAAGCCTGTCTGTCAGTTTGAGAGAAGGTTTCACTCTTCCTTGTGCTGTCACTCCAGGCTCTTGTAAAGAGTCTGTCTCCATCTTTCCTGTAGGTTCCCTTCAGGTCCTGGAGGGCCACAATTAGGTCACCCCAAAGCTTTTTTTTTCCAGACTGAACAATCCAACAATCCCAATTCTCCAAGCAGAGCTGCTCCATCCCTCTGATCACCTTGGTGCCTGGTCTGGATCTGCTCCAGCAGCTCAGCAGCAGCAGTGTGCTCTGTTCAAGGGCTCTGTGGCTGAGGTGAGCTTATGGGAAACATCCTCCCTGTGCCCCCCACCTTTCCACAGCGCCTTCCCGCAGAGTTCTCCACATTCCTGCCCTCACAAAAGCCGTGCTGGAAGCAGGGGCCTTTCTCTCAGATGTATAATTCAGCCCCTGTCCCCGGCGTGCCAGCCTTGTTTGTGTTGATGAATGAATGTTCCCTGTGTACAGCCTGCAGATTGCTCTGCTCCTGGACTGCAGTCCTGCTCAATGTACCTGGTTCTGATTAAGTGCATTTGAATTTGGGAGTGTGCTTAATGAGCTACACCTTTCACAGATTCTTTTGTTAATTCAGAAAAGCTGCCTGCTCTGATTTATGGCGCCAAAAGGGGTAAACTGCCATTAAAAGCATTAATTAGTCTTGGTTGACTGCACAAAGAATAGACTTGGTGTGAGCCAGTTTTTGATTTAGCCCTTTGATTTTTGCCTAAGCTTGTTAGAGGGTCTGTATCTCTGGCTGTCTCATGCTGAATTGTGTAATTGGAATTTTGTGTGAAATTCTTGGGCTGAAGGAGCAAGAGCCAATTATAATCAATAAAGTTGTAAGGCAATTGGGCAGAACTTTGCAGATAGTTTAAAACAGCAATGTTCCTTTTAAACATGTGGAAGTGATAACTTGGGATTGTCAGATTGTCAGGGATGATATCCTGAGGGTTTGCTGTCAGCCTTGGGCACTGTTGGTAAACCTCAGGAAGGAAAATATTCTCAGGAGCCTTGGATCTGCCCATTGTGCTGCATGTGAGTCCCAGAATCCCACAATGGCTGGGCTTGGAAGGGACTCAGAGGTCATCCAGTCCAACCTCCCTGCTCAAGCAGGATCCCCAAGAGCAGGTAACCCAGGATTGCGTCCACCATCCCTGGGATTGTGGGGTTTGACTATCCCCAGGGAAGGAGACTCCACACCCCTCTGGGCAGCCTGTTCCAGTGCATGGTCACCTCACAGGAAAGTTCTTCCTCTCCTTCAGGAGGAACTTCCTTCATTCCAGTTTCTTCCCATTGCCTCTCATCCTGTTGTACCACCCAGCAGAGCCAGGTGGTAGCACTGGTGGGTTTTTTTCTTTCCCTCTACATCTTTATCCATTTTCTACAGGCTAATTGGAAAAAAACCAAAAAGCCCTAAACGCTGGAACATTGTCTGAGTTGTATCCTTGGAAATCCTATATTATATTGATGAGTGTATTTCAGTGTCTGGTAGTTCCTGTACTTCTCAATTCTAGCCATCAATTCTCCACACAAAGGTTTCAAAATTAATTGAAATGCAAATCATAGCCTAAGCTTTCTTTCCAATAGACTTTCCATAATTATGCTTGACTGCAAAAAAACAATTCCATTGCTATAATTTTGGTAATTGCCTCTGGTCTGTTTGAGAATTAAGATTTCCCTCTGTCTATATAAAGTTTCCTTCTCTCTTAGATATTATCACATTAACTGCTCCATAAAAAGAAGGTTGGATTGGGCTTCCATCCCAGCTTGTCCTTAAGGAGCCGACAGTTGGATCCTCCAGCTCTGCCTTAATTTCCTGGCAGAACTGGAAGGTTCCTTCTCCCTTCCTTCTCCTTGCATGCCTGGTGGGATGATGGTGGTACCACAGAACTTTGGAGTATTGAACTGGAAATATCCTCTGGCTATCCAGGGAGATGGGAACTGCCTTCAAAATGCATTTTTAGCACAAATTGGTTCCTAACAGCAGCATAGATCTGAAATGACAAATATCTTTAGAGGCATGGAGGTATTTAG